CATGGCAGCCCCAGCATGCTGCCCCACCTGAGCTGGGGGGGCCTGGCTCTCAGGTCAAGAGGAGTGTCATGCCCAGGAGTGGGGCCTGCAGGCTCNGGGGGGGCCTGGCTCTCAGGTCAAGAGGAGTGTCATGCCCAGGAGTGGGGCCTGCAGGCTCCAACGTGCCCTTCCTGCCAGGAACCTTTCACACTGGGCCCAGGGTGCGGCATCCCTGGGCTGTCCGGGCGTTTTACCCTGAAGCCCAATTTTCCTGAGATAGATCCCTTCCCCTCGGCAGCCCCTCCCCCAGCCTCCTGTGGTCGCGTCGCTTTCCTGTGTGACCTCATGAGCTCTGGACAGCCTGGGCTCCGTGGGCCGGGCCGACGGCTCTGACATCGAGGTGTCCTGGTCCCCCCTGAGTCTTGAGCTGCCAGTTCCTCCCACGTCCCCCTCAGCCCAGAGTGATTCTGCTCAGGCAGTGCCTGGTTAGAACCAGCAGCTGCCGACTGAAAAGGAACCATCTGTGAGGAGGAGAGAGACTGGCTTTTAGAACGTCTTGACAATAGAGAAGCAAATTGCAGGAAATGGGAAGAAATGGCAAATCCGGACACGTTTTCCAAACTGCAAGGGTTTTCTGAATACACACATAATAGGTATAATTTACATTCTTTTTCTTGTAAAATGCTTCCAGATGATCTCTCTTCCCGTTTCGGCAGGGCGGCGTCCAGCCCTGTTGGTCAGACGTGCCCACGTCTTACCTCTGGCCTTACAGAAAAACTGACCTTCACTCCGGGGCCTGGGTCCAGAAGCATCGAGGTCGGCCCCGTCCTGGACACTCAGAGAGGCCCCGGGTGGCGGTGGCTGTGGGCCGTCGTGCACAGAAGTCTGGTGTCGGCTGGGCTTCCCGGCCACCTCCAGGCAGAATTCGGAAGGGGCCTCCTGGCTGCGTGCTGGGTGCCAGGAGAATGCAGCCGCCCTGGAGTCACGGTCGCACCCTGCGCTCACGAGAAGTCTGGTTTTCTAGAGAAAAGTGTCATAGCGGGAAGGAGCCGGAGCGCAACGATCTGCCCGTGTCCTGTCCAGCCGGACCGTGGGAAGCCTCAGTGCCTCGGGGTGACTTCACCAAGCAGGCGTCAGGGCATCTGGACGGACGAGGACGCTCTTGACTTCCACAGCTGCCACTCGCTGCCCGTCTGAGCACCCGGCCTCGGCTCCCTCGTCTACGGAACAGGCACGTGGAGACTTGAAAGGTCTTGCTTGAGTGGAATGAAACGCCTCTCGGAGTCCAAATCGAGCCAAGCCTGCCTTTGGGGGCCCAGGAGCCCGGGGCGCTCCCAGGAAAGCTGCTGCTGCTCAGGCCCGGCTCCCAGGGCCCCGCTGGAACCTGCCCCTGCTGCAGGCGGGCTAGATCACCTTTCCCTGTGTCCCCGCACACGGCTCCCAGCAGGCACGCACGGAACAAGGGCGGCCACACGCAGGATGGGGATGGGACGTGGACTTCACGGCACAGCCCGATCCCGAGCACACGCCTGTGAGCCACGTAAGGCAGAGCCGCGCCGCAGAACAGCGCCTCCCGCAGGCCACGCCGTGTGGCACCTCCGTCCCCCGAGTTCTCACCCACTCCACCTGTCACCAGGAAAAAGCCCGCCGCGAGCCGCCGATTTCTCCTGACCCGCGGTTCCATGAGTCGCCCCCCGCAGTGTGGTGATCTCTGGTGCAGAGGACGTCGATAAAGGCTTCGGATGAGCGGGAGGTGTGGAGTTTCCAGAAATGCAAAAGCAGTAGCCTCCACGCTAGACGCTTCTGTTTGTGTCCTTCTCTAAAAGCTCCTCTGCTGTGTCTGCGCCCTGCACTCAGGTCCGGCCCCAGGTCCCTTCCCCTCCTCTGTCCTTGTCCCCAGCCGGACCTCTGTCCTTCCTAATGCAGCATCTCTCAACCACTGCCTCTGCCCCGGGTCTCCCCTCCCTCCCAGAGCCATGACAGTGACAATACCACGTCCCCCTCTCCGATCCCTTACTCCCCCCACCCCTGCCCCTTGCAAATATGGGATTCCCTGGGAATCAATGCCTGCTGGGTCTGGAACCTTCTGGGGCTGAGGAGAGATGCAATCCTCACCTGGGAGGCCTTCAGCCAGTGGGGAAAAGGGCTTCCATTATAGGTCCATGCCTAGATGGAGAGCACAGGGGCTGCGGACAAGTGAGAGGCCACAGAATCCCACCAGAGCTCAGGGTGGGCTTCCTGGAGGAGGAGTCTTAGAAGGTGCAGGAAGTGGCCAGTGGGGAAAAGAAAGACGGTCTCAGCAGTGGGACTGGACTGAGCACAGACAGGCTGACATCAAGGCGTGCTGAGTGTATCCAACATGCAAGGGCCAGACTGAGGCTGCAGCCAGGTCACTAGTGGTCAAGCCTGCTGTGCAGGTTGCTTGGCCAGCACAGGTCACGGGAGGCCCAAGCTGTCTAAGAACTCAGCACTTGGGGAGCAGAGTTCCCGTTTTCTGGCCCCATGCCACCAAGTGAGGTGTCCTACAAAGCCACACATTCCCCTCCAGAAGTGCTAGAGACTGGGTTGAAAGCACGAGCACACTGCGTGCCAGAAGGAGCCGGGCTCGTGTGCTGTGAGCTGCGTGGAAACCAACCAGGACCACCCAAACGAGAACAAGCAAGAACTCACAGCCTGCTGGGACAGGGCGTCGGCCACCGTCACCGGCGTTTCCAGAGACTCGGAGCCAGCAGGGGGTGAGAAGTCTCTGCGGTGGCACAGGGAGGCCCAGGCAGCCCCGGGTGGGGGCCGTCGGCCTGGGGAGCTGCAGGCGGCGACTAGAGGAGGGGCCTCCTGCGGGATCGGTTAGGGGAGCGCATTTGGCTTTCCTGGTTGGTCCTAAGTTAGAAGCAGGGACACAAGTTAGGGAAGCTGTCAGTTGTTGATCAAGTCCTGGCAAACTTGGGCGGATTGTTACAGAGGTTATTGTTTAGCTTCCTGGATGGTCCGTAGAGACAGCAGTGTGACTTTGTGCAAGCTGACTCAGCAGGCCGGCTCCCTGGTTAGCGTGGACGGTGGGCCAGGTCCCTGGTTAGTGTGGACGGCGGGCCCGGTCCCTGGTTAGCGTGGACGACGGGCCAGGTCCCTGGTTAGCGTGGACGGTGGGCCGGCCTCCTGGGCTGGTTGCTGCGGGTTAGGGTCAGAGTTCTGTTGTTATACATGATCTGGTCATTGTCCATCTGCATCTCCAGGCTCTCCAGTGCAATGGGGCTATTTGGGTATAATGATTACCACACTCAAACACCTCCCAGAGCAGCCCCCACGGTCCAGCACCTCGAGGAGGCTGGAGCACCTGCTCAAGATCAGCGGGGGTGGTGGCCACATGCCAGGGTGGCACAGGGACTGTGCAGGCAGACAGGGGCTGTGTCCAAGGAAAGGCATTCGGCCAAGTCCTCTGGGGCCCTGGGTTCCATGAGAGCCATTTTATTGAGATGGATGGTGTGCAGTGGGTTGAGAAATTGCTATAGTTGGAAAAACAAATAGGAAGACTGCCAGAAAAAAAATACCGAAGAGGAAAATGCCAGATCCAGGGAGGAAGGCAAGTGTTGAGCATGCAGGAAATTGCAAATTAATAAAATAATAATAATAATAATAAAAACTAAGAGGAGGCGAGGTTCAGATTGTCCATGTGCCAGCACCGGGGTGTTTGGCCGGATGGTGGTTCTCACTGTGTTTCAAGTGTAAGATATACTTTGATTAATTTCTCTAGACTTCACCAGAGTTACACCAACAACTCCCAGAACACTCATAAACGAGAAGAGGCGGACAGTGACTCATGCTGGGAAGAATCCAGCTGACGAAAGCCTCCCAGCCCTCAGAAAGCATCCCCGGTCCTCATGTGCTGGGAACCGCCTGCGATCAGGCCGCTTTGGCGCGAGGTCAGGAGATAATGGAGACAGCGCTCTGATTCATGGGCGTGTGTGTGCGTGCGTGTGCACACACGTGTTCCCAAGAAGAGCTGGCAGGGACATCTGGCAGCCACGCTTCCTCATGGGGGTCACCCTGCCGGAGACTAACGGACCTGCTGGGCCCTCCAGGGTTTAGATTCCCAGGAACACAGCGGAAGCTTGTGCCGGGGGAGCCACAGGGCTCCCAACTCAGCCACCACCCGGGTTGGAAGTCACCTCATCCAGCTGGACCTGACCACGCAAGGCCATTTTGGCTGACTGAGCTTTTGCTTGAAAGCTTGGGTGGTGGAGGAGGACAGAGACTCACTTCCGTTACGTGCTGCGGAGCGGACGAGGCAGAAACCATCTCATCCCAACAGAGAAAGGGAGCGTGTACGAGGACAGGAGGAAACCCCAACGTACATTTTCTCTCCAGGTGATGGGTGGCTCTGAGTCCTTCCTACTGTGGCTGGACACTGTGGCTATAGAGCCGACTGCCACCGGGCCAGGCCACCAAGGACCCATAGCTTGCGGCTCCTCTGGGAGTGAGGATTTGAGAATCGATCCCGTCCACCGCTCTCAACCCACAGTCGGGAGGAGCTCGTTACACTCCGATGTGAGGCGTGCTCGCAGGGACACCCCGCTAAGTGTGCACGGGAACTTGCGGCCGTCCATTCAGCTGATGCAGGTGTGTCACACGCGCGCAAGGCAGTTTGTCTTCACCCCTGATCCGTGGGGACTGGTTTGAGTACAGATACGAATCAGCTCGCTGTTCAGTAGCCGGAGTAATACCCTCCAGACCTGAGAAGGACCGAATGGTGGCTGAGTCTCCCAAAGCTGACGAAGCGGAGGTGCAGGGAGAGGATTGGAAACTGAGGCAGGGACACAGGGATCAGGGACTCCCTGTGTTTCACTCTCCATCATACGACGCTGGGCTAGTGACTTAACCTGCATGGCCTCGGGCTTTATACCCATGCATGACGGGGATAGTAAGGGCATCCAGCCCAGGGACAAAGGAGTCAGTACAGGAAAGGAACGTGTTCAGGTACAGCCCATGGGAAGCATTCAGTCACCGCTGGATGGTATCTGGTTAGGATGGATTTGGTGGGCAGTGGTGTGGACTTCTGGGGGCTGCAAGTTCTACACCACAGCGGGCACAAGAACCTACAGGGGAGCGTGTTCCAAATGCAAAAACCTTCCTACATGTGTAACCAAAGCCCTGACACGAGGAATGGTAATTGCAATAAAAATGCTAACACAGTCGCAAAGACACCTTAAATTCCTAACACAGAAGGAAACACTGTGGTAAGTGTAAGACTTTACCTTAATACTAGGGAGGCAGCTTGATGGGAAGGGTGAGGAGGACTGACCCTCAAATCACAGGGACAAGGACCAAGATGGAGACCTGAACAGTAAATACCTCCAAAGCAGCTCCCATGGACACGGGGCAGCGAGGGGGACCACGGGGACAGGGCATGGCATGCCCAGCTGTGTGCCTCTGGGGCTCGCTGTGTTCACCTGTGCCCATGCACTTGGCATCCAGCTGGTTATTTGTTGGTGCAAAACACTGGTGTGCTGGGAGAAATCAAACGCGAGCTGATGGCACCTCGTGATGCACCGGCGTTGCTGCCATGCTCACCAGTCGGGTGTGGCATGATGTGGCAGAAAAGGCTGCATTTGTTGGAAAGGTGGATGGACTACGCACCTGTGCCACACGCAGATGCAGGGAGGCCCCGCAGCTGCCACCTTTCCCATGAGTGGTTGTGTCCTTCCCCTGGGATTGACAGGCTGCTACTCCACCAGAGCAAAGCAGACTTGCCACAGTTTTCTACCGATCCAACCCTTGATTGAGCAGATACTACACGGTCCAGCAGGGAACAAACAGACAAGGCCAGACCCTCATGGGGCTGAAGAGGCAGTTGGTAGAGACGGACAAATAAGGCAGGAAAGCAAGTTGAGGCTCCGCCTCCTTGTCCTTGTGTGTCTCACAAAGGACCACAGTGAAGAAGTATCACTATGACATTAACAAGTACAGACGCCTACACTGTGTGTCCAACATGGAAAAAGAAGTTTAG